GCTATGGCCCAAGACCTCTCTACAGATTACAACACAGTCAAGTAATACATCCTAGTCCAGGATTCACCCCGGTCTAGGTTTCTTGACTTGTCCACCAATTCACACAGCTTGCCACTTTCATTTGCCATCAGCTTTATAGCCTTGCCATGAGTGGCAAAACTCTATCCCCAAGGAGATCCAGTATCAATAAAAGATATTATCCTGGAGTCCATGGAAGACACATCTACTTAACCGCTTAAATCTTGGTGTGTTCTACTTGAGATAAAAAACGTACCCATAAGGCTGTACTGCGCTTAGTTCATGAACTCAAGACTAGCTGAAAAGCATGTTATTGGGTTTAATTCATCAAGCTGCCATAGGCATGCTAAAGTAACCTCTAAAGTCCTACAATAATATCAATTGTGAGGTCACTTTAGCATGTTGCAAGTGCAACTTGTTGAATCTGGGCCACTGTTTTAAAATGAAGAATTTTATTACATATTCTTTTACTTATTTTACTTATAATAGGAGAGTAGTGTCAAGCAATGGACTCCTTGATAACTCGGCTCCTAATGTAAATTAAACAAGTAAAAGAATGTATTTTGTTTTTAGTTACAAAGCACCAAAAACGTCACATTAACAAAAGTGCATGATTGGAAATGTTTCTAACTTGATGCATAAACATTCTCTTATTTTAGAGATCAAAGTTACTTACAGTTGTGCCCCGTTACCACCACCAAAGTAGAAGAAGGGCCCTGGGCCCCGTGGGTCTTCTGGCTTCTTCTCTATGACAGTAGATGATTCTGAGAAAATCTTTCGGTTGGGGGTTTGCATTTTAGCTGCTTCTGAGTTCTCTATATCATTGGTCTCAAGTCTGGCTGTTCAGGGTAAAATGAGTGATAAGATTAATACCAAACAGAGCATTTCATTCATTCATTGAGAGATGTAAGACAATGCAGAGAAATGTATCCAACCCCATTTATTTTAGAGATAAAACGATTCTTCGCAGAAAATAGCTACAACCTGCAACAGGTTCAGTAATTGCTGTCCATACATGAAGCAAAATTTCTCTTCTATAAGAATTATTGTGTTGCAGCGATCAGACAAATTAAAGTGGTTGTAAACTCTTAAATATACCCAGTGAAATGACTGGCCTCAGGTGATACACAGAGATGAAGCAAATCCTCCTACATATGTTAAACCTGTGTATCTGCAGTCTTCTCATCTCTAAATCTGTTCAAAGTCCAGAATTTTAAAGTTTGTCTGAGAGTTCAGAAAAAAAGGAGGCGGAGAGTTGAAGTTACACTCTGCTGAGTTCAGTGAGGAGAGCTCTGAGAGCTGATTGGAGGGAAGAGACACACCCCCTTCACACAGCTCACAGGAACAGAAGCTGAGGCTGTATCTCTGCTGGAGGTCCCTCCCCTGTCACCATTTTTCTCTTGGTGTCAGGAAAACTTGTCAGAAGTGATTCATGCTGATAGCAGAGGAACACTGCAGCAGACAGAAATGGCATTTAGTTGAGACAAGTACACACTATAGAGGGATATGCTTTGTTCATATTTCATGTCTGAGATTTACAACCACTTTAAGGCAGATGTATAACCCAACTGAATGACAATTTGTTTACTAAAGCATTGTGTATAATAAACAAATTGCCCTTTTTTTTTTAAACTAAAATTATATTCCTTTATTCTTAAATTTTATGAAGCCCCGATTCACTTATATGCAAAATGGATTTGCTTTGAACTGCATCCAATTCAGATGACATGTGAATCTACAGCCTTTTCTATGGAGCCGGTTCACATACAGTCATGGCCGAAATTGTTGGCACCCTTGATATTTCTCCAGGAAATCATGTATTTCTCACGAAACGTATTGCATTAACACATGTTTTGCTATACACATGTTTATTCCCTTTGTGTGTATTGGGACAAAACAAAAAAAGGGAGGAAAGAAAGCAAATTCGACATAATGTCACACAAACCTCCAAAAATGGGCTGGACAAAAGTATTGGCACCCTTTCACAACTGCGGATAAATAAGAATGTTACAAGCATGTGATGCTCCTGTAAACTCACCTGGGGCAAGTAACAGGTGTGGGCAATATAGAAATCACACCTGAAAGCAGATAAAAAGGAGAGACGTTCACTTAACCTTTGCATTGTGTGTCTGTCTGTGCCACACTAAGCATGGACAACAGAAAGAGGAGACGAGAACTGTCTGAGGACCTGAGAACCAAAATTGTGGCAAAATATCAACAATCTCAAGGTTACAAGTCCATCTCCAGAGAACTAGATTTGCCTTTGTCCACAGTGCGCAACATTATCAAGAAGTTTGCAACCCATGGCACTGTAGCTAATCTCCCTGGTCGTGGACGGATGAGGAAAATTGATGAAAGATTGCAACGCAGAATAGTCCGGATGGTGGATAAGCAGCCCCAAACATGTTCCAAAGACATTCAAGCTGTCCTGCAGGCTCAGGGAGCATCAGTGTCAGCGCGAACTATCCGTCGACATTTAAATGAAATGAAACGCTATGGCAGGAGACCCAGGAGGACCCCACTGCTGACACAGAGACATAAAAAAGCAAGACTACAGTTTGCCAAAATGTACTTGAGTAAGCCAAAAGCCTTCTGGGAAAACGTCTTGTGGACAGATGAGACCAAGATAGAGCTTTTCGGTAAAGCACATCATTCTACTGTTTACCGAAAACGGAATGAGGCCTACAAAGAACAAAACACAGTACCTACGGTAAAATATGGTGGAGGTTCAATGATGTTTTGGGGTTGTTTTGCTGCCTCTGGCACTGGGTGCCTTGACTGTGTGCAAGGCATCATGAAATCTGAGGATTACCAAAGGATTTTGGGTCGCACTGTAGGGCCCAGTGTCAGAAAGCTGGGTTTGCGTCCAAGATCCTGGGTCTGCGTCCAAGATCCTGGGTCTTCCAGCAGGACAATGACCCCAAACATACGTCAAAAAGCACTCAGAAATGGATGGCAAAGAAGCGCTGGAGAGTTCTGAAGTGGCCAGCAATGAGCCCAGATCTAAATCCCATTGAACACCTGTGGAGAGATCTTAAAATTGCTGTTGGGAAAAGGTGTGTCCTTCCAATAAGAGAGACCTGGAGCTGTTTGCAAAGGAAGAGTGGTCCAAAATTCCGGGTGAGAGGTGTCAGAAGCTTATTGATGGTTATAGGAAGCGACTGATTTCAGTTATGTTTTCCAAAGGGTGTGCAACCAAATATTAAGTTAAGGGTGCCAATACTTTTGTCCAGCCCATTTTGGGGTTTTGTGTGACATTATGTCATATTTGCTTTTCTGCCTCTGTTTTTATATTTTCCAATACATACAAAGGGAATAAACATGTGTATAGCAAAACATGTGTTAATGCAATACCTTTTTTGTGTGAAATACTTGATTTTCAGGAAAAATATCAAGGGTGCCAACAATTTCGGCCATGACTGTATGTGCGGGTCAGACGCAGTGAGAGATTTCCAAAAGGATCTGGTATGATTTGTTATACTCTGCAGAGCTCAGTGAGGAGAGCTCTGAGAGCTGACTGGAGAGAAGAGACACCTCCCCCCATCCACACACCTCACAGGAACAGAGCTGAGGATGTCAATTTGCTGGAGGTCCCTCCCCTGTCACCAATTTTCTCTTGGTGTCAAGAAAACTTGCCAGAAATTATTCATTCTGATAGCAGAGGCAAAGCAGCAGAGAGAAATGACACGTAGTGCTCTTAATTGAGGCAAGTACACACTATAGAGGGATATGCTTTGTTCATAATTTCATGTCTGAGGTTTATGACCACTTTGACGCTCCAGTAATTCTTAGTGAGCAGTTTTCTCACACCCAGGATCCACCAAAACTTACTAGCTCATAAGATGTATGGATGGAGAAAAATAAACCCCCTAAAGCAGGGATCCTCAAACTACGGCCCGTGGGCCACATGCGGCCCCCCGAGGACATTTATCCGGCCCACCGGGCAGGGGCGTATTTGCCTAGGGTGGCACTTTTCAGGGGGGTGGCACGGAAGGGACACTTCCGTGGGAAAGATACAGGGGCAGGGCCGCCATGGTTGAGGGACCAGCTGCAGAGTGCAAAGTGGTGGGCGGATCCACGGAGTGCGCTCGGCGCGTGTGAGGGGCGGGGCCTGCTGTCAGTGTGCCGGTATCCAGGTGAAGGCCAGAAGGAGGAAGCAGAAGAGGACGAGGTCAGGGGGGCGGAGCCGGCCCACTCCTTTGCTGCCGCCGCCGGAGATCGAGGGGGAGAAGGGACACAGGCACCCATCCTGGAATGATCCTGACACCATCTGGAGGAGCCGCTGCTGGACAGGTAAGTGCTTGGAGGACTGGTGCTCCCTCGGTCCTGTCTCACTGTCCCCTGATACACTGCCCCCCACCTGTTCTACTTCCCTCCCCCGTCCCATTGCCCCCCATCCATCACACTGCCCCCTGCCCCCACATGTCACCCTGCCCACACACCTGTTCCACTTCCCCCTCCTGTCCCCCACATTGTCCCACTACCACCCATCTGTCCCCACTGCCCCCCACCTGCCCTTCTGTGCTGCTCCTGTCCATCTGCCCCTCACCTGTCCCTCTGTGCTCCTCCTGTCCATCTGCCCCTCACTTGTCCCTCTGTGCTCCTCCTGTCCATCTGCCCCTCACCTGTCCCACTGCACTCCTCCTGTCCATCTGCCCCTCACCTGTCCCTCTACGTTCCTCCAGTCCAGCTGCCCCGATTCTGTCCCATGTCCCCTGTCACACTGCCCCCCACCTATCCCTCTGCTCTCCTCCTGTCCCACTGCCCCTCACCTATCCTTCTGTGCTCCTCCTGTCCCTCTGTGCTCCTGTCTCCTCCTCACCTATCCTGTCTGTGCGTCTTATGGAGCGGCCGGCTCAGTATTCCCGCCGCCATTGTATGTCCGCAGTCTCTGGTCATCACCTGTACTGTATCCACAGTCTCTGGTCATGTCATGTACTATGTCTGCAGTCTCTGGTCATCTCATATACTATGTCCACAGTCTCTGGTCATCTCCTGTACTATGTCTGCAGTCTCTGGTCATCTCATATACTATGTCCACAGTCTCTGGTCATCTCCTGTACTGTGTCCACAGTCTCTGGTCATCTCCTGTACTGTGTCCGCAGTCTCTGGTCATCTCCTGTACTGTGTCCGCAGTCTCTGGTCATCTCCTGTACTGTGTCCGCAGTCTCTGGTCATCTCCTGTACTGTCCGCAGTGTCTGATCATCCCCTGTACTGTGTCTGCAGTCTCTGGTCATCTCCTGTACTGTGTCCGCAGTCTCTGGTCATCTCCTGTACTGTGTCTGCAGTCTCTGGTCATCTCCTGTACTATGTCCGCAGTCTCTGGTCATCTCATGTACTATGTCCGCAGTCTCTGGTCATCTCATGTACTATGTCCGCAGTCTCTGGTCATCTCATGTACTATGTCTGCAGTCTCTGGTCATCTCCTGTACTATGTCCGCAGTCTCTGGTCATCTCCTGTACTGTTTCCGCAGGCTCTTGTCATCCCCTGTACTGTGTTTGCAGTCTCTGGTCATCTCATGTACTATATCCGCAGTCTCTGGTCAACTAATGTACTATGTCCGCAGTCTCTGGTCATCTCATGTACTATATCCGCAGTCTCTGGTTATCTCCTGTATTGTGTCCGCATTTGTTCATAGTTTTTTTTTTTAACTATAGTGCGGCCCTCCAACGGTCTGAGGGACAGTGAACTGGCCCCCTGTTTAAAAAGTTTGTGAACCCCTGCCCTAAAGGATAACATGCTTGAAGAAAAGTAGGCCTAGTGTCCCTCCATGGTGTTTGCCTATTGCCATGGCAATACATCAACAGCAGGTTCTGGGATTGTTGATACATGCTCAGTTGTCACGTAGCTTTTCAGAACATCATTATCAGTGACAGCAAACAATTCCATATCCTAACCTCTTCATACCAGTATAGGAAATGTGTGGTGCTCAGGAATAAAGAGGGAGAGTTTAGGGCAGGAGACAGCTCAAAGTGGAACACCTATTGAATGAAGAGGGAAGGTTCGATTCTCTTTCTGCTTTTCTTGGTGTTTCTCTGCTTCACTTACGTACTGTCCTGGGGTCAGATGCACCTAGGGAGAACCTTGGATCTTCTATAAAGGGCCTTGATTTCTCCTGAAGTGAAGATGCCCTGAGTCCTCCATGGTTACAACCGGTTCTACTGCTTGACACTTGAATTATAGGGGTGGGGCTTAGTGCCAGGAGGGAGCCAAACTGATTTCCCAAAACAGTTACATTCAAGGCAAGCCTCTGATCATAACTGTCACAGTTGGCAATGTGCTCATGTTAGCTCTCAACTGAACTTCCCAGCTTCAAATGGCTGGTGTCATAGCTGATTAAATGTGCAACTGCAGACATGAATATAGGCTAAGACTTATTCACTCCCTTGTTATCTCTCGCCTTGACTATTGTAACTCCCTCCTCATTGGCCTACCTCATCATAGGCTATCCCCTCTTCAGTCTATCATGAATGCTGCTGCCAGACTCATCCACCTTACTAACCATTCCATATCTGCCCCCCCTCTCTGCCAATCCCTCCACTGGCTTCCCATTGCCCAGCGAATAAAATTCAAAACATTAACAATAACATATAAAGCCATTTATAACTCTGCCTCAAATTACATTACCAATCTTGTCTCCAAGTATCACCCAAACTGTACTCTCCGTTCCTCGCACAACCTCCTGCTCTCTATCTCCCTTGTCTCCTCCCATGCTCATCTCCAGGACTTCTCCAGAGCCTCCCCCATCCTCTGGAACTCTTTACCCCAATCTATCAGACTATCGCCTACTCTGCTCACTTTTAGGCGATCTCTGAAAACCTGTCTCTTTAGGGAAGCCTATCCTGCCTTCAGCTAATAATGGAATCTTCTATTCCTCATACCAGTCCATCCCCTACAGTTATAACCTTTTGTACCACCAGCCCCTCCCTATTAGATTGTAAGCTCCACGGAGCAGAGCCCTCCTATCCCTCTTGTATTGAACTGTATTGTCTCCAGTTGCATTGTAAAGCGCTGTGCAAACTGTTGGCGCTATATAAATCCTGTATAATAATAATAAGAAGAAGGTTTAGTTGTAAAGGATAGAAGGGTTTAGTTCTCCTTTAATCTCAATTTGGGAAGCAGTCAAAGCCTATAAAAAGCTTCCAAAATGCAGGGTCCTCCCGGGTTGCATAGGAAAAACTAATGTAAAAAACAAACAAAGTTAATTGCATGCACTACAAGCTGCCTGCACTGTACCAGTAATGTTAGTTACACACTTTGCAGGGCATGATGATTCGCTTTGACATTAACCTTTCATAAAGGTGGAACTAAAGTCTACAAATACTTCACTCCAATGATCCAAAGTCCGCACACACCCTTTCCATCTTCTCCCCGGCTTTTTCCATGTGCCTTGTCATTGATCAGCTTGAATGGCCAGCAGGGGATGATCTAACTCCCATGTATGCGCAGGAGTTCATTCATCCCGGCACCAAGGCTTATAACCACAATAGCTGAAACAAAGCTGTGCCTACCTTCCCTGTGCTATTCTTTTGCAGAATGCATTCTACAATTCTGCATATGCTTTCATTTACACGATTGTGCTTGTTTCCTGCTCCAGTGACCAGAGTGTAAAGAAAACAGCCCTTATTTTATTCAAAACTGAAAATTATAGGGTAAAGTCTACTTTCCAATGTACCCGAAGGGACCAAAAACACCTGTAATTTCGAAATGGCACACCAGGTAGTGCACCATACTAGTGCATGCAGTATCCTGTATTGCAATGTATTTTGGAGATGCATTAGAAAAGCATTCAAAGTGAATTACACTGCAATGCAACAAAGCATGTAGGCTGTGTTATCACAATGCAAAGTGCAAAGTTATGCTTTAGGATTAAAGGCTAAGTTCATCTTTTGTAAAAAATAAAACAAAATAAATAAATGCACATGATTTTGCAGGTAAAACAATGTGCATGTATTATTTTTTGACACAGCAGCCTGCAAAGCATACCCACTGACAGTGGGTCAGGCTCCTGCAGACAGTCATTACAGCTGCCTGCCCATACATCCTGTACAAGCAGACAGTTACTGAACCTTACAGTGCTTTGTAGTTCATTGAAAACTTGTAGTTGTAGTTCATTCATTCACAGATTTCTGTGAATGAATGTTTCAGCTGTGTGGGAGAAGTCCCGCAGAGCCTGTCCTCTCTCTTGTGACAACTGTGACATCTGATGCGGGGAAAGGATCCCCCTCCTGCTGTCAGAGTTGGGGGAGGAGAGAGAGGTTGGTTGCTGTACATGTTACATGTTACATGTTACACCCTAAATATGGGTGTATTACAAAAAGTCAGAAAGGTGAACTTATCCTTTAGAGGCTTCTTTGCATTTTCTTCTAAGCAAAATATGACATTCTGCTAAAGCATGATGTCAAAATATGACATTCTGCTAAAGCATGACCTCACCACATATATCTAAGTAGTTTCAGGATCCTTGTAGAGCCCCTTGTTATGTCTGTCCTTCAGCTGTATTGTTAGCTGAGGCAATAGGGTGTATTTACTAAAGGAAAATAGACTGTGCACTTTGCAAGTGCAGTTGTACTTATTTTCCCCAGAATTTAGAGAATGTGACAAAGCTCTGCTGATTTCCATCCAATCATGTGCAAGCCAAAACAATTTTAATTAAATCTTTCTTTGCACCTAATTGGATATTCTTTACAAAGTGGAACATCCCCACATTCACTTAGCTCTGGGGAAAATGGGTGCAACTGCACTTGTAAATTGCACCGTCTATTTGCCACTTTGACTGTGTAAATTGCAGAGTATCAGTGCCACCTCACTGTCTTGAATTTGACAGGCTTGCTTATATCTTACATTTTATTTGCTTACTCGACGTATTACAATTTTTTAATTCGATTTTCCTGCAACAAATAGACAACACCTTATTTAGCTTTCAGTATTTCATCCTCACCCGGTTTCCTTGCTCCATGTGACCGGTCTGCCACAACCTCCTCCGTAAGCTGCACCTTGCTGTGGCTGCACTCCTGCCTCCACCAGGTACAAAGCAAGGTGAAGCCCTCCTCTCTGGGATATTGGCAGCTGTCAGAGAACAAGTTCTGCTGAAGAGCAGACATCAGGGCAGAAATCTTTTTCAGCATTGGATCTCTCGGTCTGCCAGAATCCCTGGAAGCCACCAGTGTGACGGTCCTGGAGTCACCACCTGCAGTGCTCTTGCAGTCATTTTTACAGGACGACTGCGCCTAGGGAGAGTAGCAACAGTGCTAAACTTTCTCCATTTGTAGACAGTCTGTCTTACCGTGGACACATGAACATCAAGGCTTTTGGAGATACTTTTGTAACCCTTTCCAGCTTCATGCAAGTCAACAATTCTTGATCGTAGGTCTTCTGAGAGCTCTTTTCTGCGAGGCATGGTTCACATCAGACAGTGCTTCTTGAAACCAGTAAACCCAAAACAGGTGTGTGTTTTTTAAGGGCAGGACAGCTGTCAGCAACACATCCAATATCATCACACTGATTGGAGTCAAGGTTGGTTCACTCCTGGCTCCAATTAGCTCTGGGAGAAGTCATTAAGCTAGGGCCTCACATACTTTTTCCTCCCTGCACTGTGAATGTTTACATGTTATGTGCAATTAAACCATGGCAACATCTAATGTTTGTGTAGTATTATGTTCAGCAGACTGTGTTCTTCTATTGTGACTTAGATGACGTTCAGAGCACATTTTATGCCCAATTCATGCAAAACTCCACTTAATCCCAAGGGGTTCACATACTTTTTCTTGCAACTGTATGTACTACACTCAGATAGCTCCACTGTTTTCTTCCACTTCTTATACTCACTACAGAGGAGCTTCTACTCTGAAGGCTGGCTGCATCATTCTGAGCGTTTTTTCCTACAGTCTTATTAGGCCTATGGACATTTCTCCTTCCCCTACTACTACTTAGTCTTCAACACTTCCTAGTGACATTGATCGCTCTTACATGAGTGTCTTCCGATGTATATACTTTCCCAGCGTCACTTATTTGTTTTTCGTTTTGTTCCACTCATCTATCTTTCCACTGCTTTGTCTTTAATTGCTTAAAGGATTCATCTCTGAATATCAACAGGACATGCAAAACAGAATCCAAGAAAAAAGAATCCCCAGTAAATGTATCAATGACTTCCTCAAGAATGTTGAATCCTTCTGCTCTTTCCAGTGGTGACTCAATCTCAATGGCATCAGTCAACTCACCAACACAACAGTAGTGATAAAATGGGCTTTATATGAACAGGAATAAATTCTGTATGGAAAGTACTCAGTAATCAAATTTAACAAAAGGCAGGATTTTCCAAAATGAAATACTGGACAATTACAAGGGTGGC